TTAGAAAGAATTTACTGAGTAGATGAACAAGAAACACAGAACCGTTCATGCTATTTGAATAAGCTGTGGGAAGCAGAAACACCTACTTTCCCTGCATTACTAGATTATTTATAAGAGTTTCACTAATGAATCTCCAGTTTGAGCCCTCATTTCTATGTCAAATCTCATTTGAAAGGAACATTCCCCCTTATTCTCCTTATACCAACACCCAAATAAAAGTCCAAAATGTAATGTGCTTCTTCCTGTTTAAGGGCATATAAAAATAAAACCCTTCTTTAATAGCAAGAAATGAGATTTTTGAAAAACCACAGATGAAAACTCTTTAAATGTTTACATCATGGATGGGAAAGAAACAGTATTTTTTAGAGTCACTATTAAAATGTGTATGTTTTCACAAATATTTTCTAATTGAGTTTTCAATGAGGAAACTCTAATTGAGGAACAACGGCTGGTTCCTTCGTACAGGTGAAGGTCAAATGTACCCAAGACTGCATAGTGAGTAATGTAGCTGGAATTTCAAACTGTTTTGTTTTTTTTTTTCCATATAGATGCAACTTATTGCAATAGACAAGAGATAAGCCAGGAAAGAGCTTTTTGGGTGTGATGCTTTCTCTCCCCACTTGCGTCATCATTATTTGTCAATGGATCTTTTCAGGATAAAAAGTAGTAGCCCAGTCCAGTATAAGCCAGAGGGGAGGTAAGAAACAACTTCAGGATAATCCTAGCATCTTACCAGTAGAGAGCTAATATATGAGAAGTAAGCAACCTGCCCTGTATCTTAGTAGGCCCTCTCAAATTCTCTACCATGTGAGCTTGATCACATATAACCCGGGAAAATGGGTCTTGGAACAAAGCCAGGGTTCAGAATCTAATCTGTGGGAGGTTCTCCAATGGGTCCCTTACTGTGTATCTGTCTGAAGCAAACCAGGAATTGTTGAGCCATAATTGTAACAATAGGTGCTCTCTGCACTCAGGGGCACCCTGTTCCCTCACCGATTCATATAGAAAGGGACAAGTTAGAGCACTGGCTTTCATATCTTCCAAGACTTACCAGTCAAAACTGCTGGAATACCAATGGAATATTAACTCACAGAGAAAAATAACATCTGATGAGCATAAACGACACACTAAAATAATCTAAATCAGAGGAAGTAGCATTAATGTACTAGACAGACACAAAGTTTAATATAGAAATAAAGTATACCTTAAGATATAAAGAAGGATATTAGAAAGATGGAGGAAAAAACAGTTATAAAAAAGAATCAATGTGAGGGATTGGGCATGAAACATGTAATAGTCAAAGTAAAGAACTCGACAGGAGGGCTGAATAGAAGTTCAAAAGAAGAATCAGTGAACCAAAAGATCAGGTATTAGGAAGAGATAAAGAAATTGAAGGCAGTTAAAATTATGAAGTATAGAAGTAGAATATCAATGTCTACATAGTAGAACCTTCCAAAGTTATACAGCCTCTAGGTATTACCATATGAACACAAGGAACTATATAAACTAGATGCAAGTAGTGTTGTAGGAAGAAACACAATGAGATCTATGTCTTAATACCATTTTTGCAAATTGAAAACATGTAACTCTGTATACATTTTAGGAATGGAAATATGTCTAAAGACATATATAAAACCCATTAGAGTGAGTGCCTGTGAGGATGGGAATGTGAGGGAGAAAGAGAATGAAAAGAGAAATAATAAAAACCAAGGTTTATAATGAATTAAAGAGGTTGTGTTACTCTACTATGAGGGCCACATTTTTTTTTGTTTTTTGTTTTTTTTTAAATAAGTAAATAAAGATAATGAATGGATAGATAGATAAAAGGTGGCTAAGTGATCTAAAGCCACCAGAGAATCACAGAAATGAACTAAAAGAATGTTTTTTTCTTCTTCTCAGTTAAAAGGGCTTAATAAACAGATATGAATCAAACATCCTTTTTATACCAGGCACTGTTCGAGGTTCTGGGAATACTAAGATGAGTGAGATACTGTCTCCACTTTTAAGAAATGGTGCTATGTCCCCAGTCTTGTCCCATTCCTTTTGGCCAGCTCTAAAAAGATGTTTTTTACACTCATGTTGCTTTAAATATAACAAGCACAACTGATATTATAATCTAAATCACGTCTTCTTTACAGAATCTGAAACTTAAAGGAAGTTTTGAGGTCACCTAGGCCCATCTTCCACAGCCTTAGGAATCTCTTATATTTCCCAAGCTGTGGAAGTTTCCTTCCCTATAATGATCATGCATTGTTAGCATTTCTTTCTTATGGAGTGGCTGTGGATTAAGTGTTACTTCTGAAGCAATTCCCATCAGTCTCTCTTCTCTGGGTTAAATACTGCTAGGACCTTTAACCAACTGCTCATATCCTATCTGTCTGCTCAAACCCCATTCTCCTGAGAAGCCATCCTGGATCACCCCAGAAGAGAGTGCCACACCATTCTCTATATTTACACTGATGGGGTCTCTCTCAATCCAAATGATCCAGAGACCCCTGCTGCCTTAAATAACCAGTTATCTTGCCATAGAGTATTCAGCGTCCTGAATTGATGGCAAATATCTTAAAATCTTTTTATCAACAAGTTGTGTTTGAATATCCATCTCTATTTGGTTGACCCAACCTAAATAGTTATTCAATATTTTGGTAACCTTTAAAGAAAGTATTGTGACTAGGGTTCCATAGACAAATCCATAGTTTGAATGGAAAGTCTTACACCATAAAGACTGCTTCAAGGAACTCCCAGCAAAGCAAACAAATATCCTTTTTTAAGAAAATAAATTTGTTCTCAAGGATGACATAGAGAAATAGTTTACTCTGCCTTAGCTGCCAAAACCAGTTCAGCTCAAAAACGACTTATTTGAGTACCCTTAATACGCAGATTCTTCATGAGATCTGCAACTGGTTCCTGAGTGGCTCAGGGCCCTGAAAGGAAGCAGTTGACTTGTCTGGAACATAATGGTGTTTATCAGGAATTTATACTCCTTTTTAATATTTGCTTGTATATACATATTATTTAGCTTCTGTAGATAATCAAAACGTATAATATTACAATATGAATTCATCCATATAATAAAGGATTTTATAGCTAAAGGATATTATGTTAAACAGAAAAATATTTCTGATAAAGTTATAAATGAAAAAAGCATAACTCTAATGCTATTTTTTTCTAGGGTTATGTATGGAAAGTGAACGGGAGTGCACAAAAATATTAATATTGATTATCTTAAAAATGGTTATCATTGTGTTTAAGGATTCATTTTTATTTTCCTTTTATTTTTCTTATAGTTCAGTTTTTTATAATGTACTTTATATAATAAATATATATTATTAAAAATTTATTTCTTAAACCCCTTATGCCTGCAGCATAGGAATAATGATGGAAAGAATATCTTTGCTTTTTCTTATGCACATTGGAGCTACAAATGCAAACTGTAAACTATGATATAAACTATGTCCTACTAGAACAAAGGTTATGTTAACAAATATTCTTCTCCAAACTGTCCTCGAGGCTGTGAGAAACCATAAGTCTACAGTTACAGTGACTATAACCCCAACATATGCCTAAAATATGTAAATATACCATTTTTGTTTGCTTTAAAGGCAGCAACCATCCTATACAATTTGGATTATCTCTTGTGCTTAGCATTTAGGGATTTGGTAGAATTTTCACTGATAAAATTTGTTTGGCATACACAGAATAAATTGTGTAATTTCAATGAAAAAAATTCCTAAACAAAAAAACCAAATGCTGAAAATTTTAAAGAACTTAAAATATCATCAGTCACAACAGTCTGTGTAACTGCATCTTTATCAGGTAAGCAAATATTCAAAGTAAACTCTTTGAATACCTATGTGTACTGCAATGTTTAAAGACAAGCAAAAAACAAACAAAAATATTGTGATCCCTATGAAGAGATTTCAGTCTAGATAAATGCAATCTCCTGCCTCCCCTACCCCATCCTCCCGAACGTGTATGATTTATTTGATTTGTCTTCCGTATTCCCAATCATTGTCTAGTAGCGTTGGCCCATTGTTTTCCAGAGCTTCATGACTTAGCTATACCTAAAACTATCAGCCACCCAAGATATTAATAGTAAAAGGTTCTCAAAGCCTTGATATTGATTAAAGTATTTATTGTTTCCGCTCAATCTACTACAAATGGACTTTTGTCTTCTGACAAACCAAAATGAGGCATCTCTAAAGAACTTTGGAAAGTAATTATAAACTCCACATGCATAAATGAGTCAATTTCCAAGTAAAAAGACAAATGGAGAGGGAAGTATTGCTGCACGGATGCTCTGTTCCTCTTGCTTTCAGTACCTCATCGTTCCATTTTGCACAGTCACACAACTACAAGTGGTTGCCTGGCTGGTAGCCATTATGTTTTGCAAAACTTAGGAATGTGAAGCAAGTTAAGGAACTAGGGAAATATAAATGGAAGCAGTAAACTATAAATGGAAACAGTAAACTATACCTAAATCATAAAAGTGATAGCATAATGAGACCTCAGTGTAGAAAAACATTTTTTTAGAAAGTTAGCAGGGTATAGTGCTTAAGAACTTGGGCCTTGGAGTTAGGTAAGACCTGTAATCAAATTCCAACTCTGCCACTGACAAGATATATTACAGTGGTAAACTTACCTTGCATCTCCAAGTTTCTGTTTTTAGTTTGTTTGTTTTGATCCATAAAAAGAGGAAAATAATACCTACTCCTAAGGTGTTTTGTGATAACTTAGATAATGCATCTCTTACTACAGTGTTTGATACACAGTAACTACTCAAAAAAATAGCTATTATTTTTGTAGAAGCTGTTGTTTTGTTCCTTATTATTCTAGAAGCACAGTCAGCAGGCATTGGTATTAGCTAATGCTATCAGATTTTTTCTATGTAAATAGTGGGTTATTCAAAGAGAGTCTTTAGTAAGCCTCTAAATTACATTTAGAAGCATATTCAAGGACAGTCCATGCATTTTTCAATTATCGTTTAATGTATCTCTTACCTTTGCTTTTGTTTTCAGTTCCTCATGCTTACGAATTAGTTCCTCATTGTCTGAAAGTGATGAACCCAGACTTTGCTCTCGTAAATCTCTTATGGTTTTCTGAAACCAACAAGTAACCTAAATAAAAAGCAACAAAGAGAGATCAAATTTCAAATGATTAGAATAAATGAGTAATAGTTCAGAAATATTTTCTTAACTTTTAAAACTTAAACTAGTTCAATTTCTCTTTATATAAGCTCATCTCATTTATTTAAAAATTATGATTTTTAAAAATTTTTTTTTCATTCAACTTCTACATGCTTAAGAGAAAGAACAAAATAATCCCTGAAAAGCATGAAAGCAATATATCAGTTCAGATTACATGGCATGAAGAAAATAATTCAAAATCTCCCAACAAAGAAGAACCAAAATAGATTCCCATGCAGTCTGTAAATCATGCATGGGTTTAGAATACAAATCTTCTTTCCTGTATAAGAATATGAATCTGAATATAGTTATAGAGACTCACATGAAGCTATTAAAGAGCAGCTGTAGAATTATATTTCTACTATAAAAAGACAATGCAAAAATATTGTTTGCTGCAATTGCGAAAATCAATATTCATAAAATAAATGAAGAAGTTATTAAAATTCTGTTGACATGGTAAATGGCTAAAGGCATGACTCACATTCATTTAGACTTGATTTATAATACATGCCTTACATAGTGTTAAAACAAATAGCAAAGGACTCAAAAGAAACAGCATATTTTAAAATTATAACATAAGTTGACATGGGGTCCCTGGATGCAGATTCCTTATCCAAATTAAGGAAAGAGACTTGGAGTTTTACTCTTAAATCCTATACAATATTATCTTCATGATCACATCATATCTACTGATTCCTAAGAGCTCACTACATGCTAGACAGTTTGCTAGTTGCTTTTTGGACGTTATCTCAATTTCTCTCAACAACTCTACAGCAATATGATATCATCATTGTAGAGATGAGGAGAGATTAAACAGCTTATCCAGGCACATATAGAAGGGGCAGAACAAGGATTTGCCCCCAAACCTATATTAGTTCAAAGTTCATGATCTTTGCACTGTGTCATGCTGCCATCCTTAGGTAACCTAAAATGTTACAGCCTTGGGCATCAGTGGGAATCACTTCAAACCTGAAAAATTAACCCGGCAGTCCATCCAAAACGGTGGGCATTGCCCAAACACTATATACTATGTCTTTCTCCTGCCTAGGTTGTCTTGCTTACAACAGTCTCAAGATTTCTTTGAACTCCTATAACTTAGAGAAATGTTTGAAGCAGGTGGTCAAGGAGAAAGCTAGGTTGGTCCTGAAGCTCCACACAATAAACGTACACTCCCCTCCCCCACCACCACACACACACACTACACAGAATTTGAATGAAGGGTTACCTGGAATAAAACATTCCATTACCATTAGAGGACTGATATCACAAAGCTGGTTTTGAGACCAATGCTTAGAATTTTCTAGCATGGACCAGATAGTAATCTGGTGTAAGAGGTCTTTCCAGCTTTCTGCTAATTGGCAATCTTCATTAATCGTCATTTTAGGCTGCCATTGTGCAAAGAAAAGAATAACGATGACCCTGTCACAGTTTTTATGTGAAGTACGCCTCCTTGTCTTCAGAATATTTGGCAGTCTGTTAGCCAGTCTCCATATCTAAAGAATCCTGTTCATGTATTTACAATTACTTAAAGATAGTATGGTTTTCTGGTATTAGAATTATTTGATATGCATAATGTGCATGTTAGAATACAAGGAGAGTATTTTATCAAAAGCTATAAAATTTATTCATTTATTTAATTTTATAAAAATAATTTCTCACAAAAGGTACAGTAAGCCCATATAAAAACACCACCGGAGGAATGATTTAAAGGTTTCATCAAAGAAAAATGGATCATAAATAAATATAACTAACTTTAAGAGAGCACTGGTCGTACTGGGAGAAGGTTTTATTTACTCTTAGCTAAAGTGAGAAGAACTCAGAAATCTCAAGAATGTTTTAATAGGGAAAGCTAATATAGAATCCGAGTGAATAAAAAATGGGTTCAAACAGGTGTTCACTAATCTCTAAAAACAGGTGAGAAGCCTGAACTCTCAGATAATACTATTTAGTTTCCTGAGTCAAAGACTTGTCATCTAGCACATGCCAGTGGTGATGAAAGCAGGGAAAGAATGACTTGTTTTGATTTTTAAAAAGTATCTACTGACCTCATCCCTAGATTTGGCAAATACTATTTCAACCTCCAAAGGATACTATTTCTGCATGGTAGTACAATTCCCTATGAGAGAATGCAGTTAAAGATCTATGGTGGCATTCCATTTATACTGATCACATACCTGCCTGTTAAGCAAGTTGCCTTTCTAGATCTATACATTTTTACTATCAAATGCACTGTGGAAAGAAACATAAAAACAAGTTGGCATAAAACTCAAAAGTAGTTTGTCATGGGAGTGTTACATCTCATCATGAGATATTCACACACATGAGCAGCTTCTTAGATCAGATTTACTGTGTGTGCTGAGGGATGGATGCACACAGAATAGACTCTGAGTTCTTCTGATGTAAAAGCAAGACACCCTAAATAACTGAGAACATGTCAGCCATAATACTCTGCCACCTAGTAAATCAGTCATTGCGTCCCATGTGTAGCTACTGCAGACAGCTGCATTCCAAGAGCACTTTTTATAAGAATTTAATTTATATCAGCTGCTTTCCAGAAGCCTGAGCGATAAGTACAGTAAATGACACATCAGGACATTCTATAGAACATGGTCCCTGCAAAAGGATGAAAACATGAGCCAAGGATTGAGGGTGGGCTATAGAAAGTAAAGAAGAACAAAAATAACATAGAGTATGTGCTGGAAATGAGTCTGAGCAATGATAGTTTCAGAGGAAAATGAAAATATTTTTCCTTTCCTCCCAGTTCCCACCTTCAGCTTGACCTAAGCATTGTGTTCATGGTCATTCCACTGGTTTGACATGATATTCTATGTGCTCAGAGGAGATAAAACTAAAGTAGAGAAAGAATGGGGCTGATTTTTTTTATGGAGGGGAGGAAGAATAGCTGTCATAGGGTGAATGAAGACAGAGAGAAAGAGAAGGAAAATCAGCAAAGATGCAAAGAAGCAATCAAGGCTATTCAATGAAAACCAAGACTTGTCTCAGACATTATAAAGAGTGATGCCAGGAAAACTCAGTATAGACCTGCACTGTCCTATCTGATAGCCACTAACATATGGCGACTGAGTACTTAGAATGTGACAAATCCAAATTGAGATGTACTCTAAGTATAAAATACACAGCAGATTTCATGGACTTAATATTAAAAAACAATGAAAATATCTCATTAAGAATGTTTGTATTGATTAAATGTTGAAATACTATTTTAGATATGTTGTATTAAACAAAATATATTATTGCTTTTCACTTTTTATGAAGCTTTTTATTTTTTTAATGTTTCTTTTTCACTTTTATTAATGTGGCTACTAGAACATTTAAAATCACATATGTGGCTTGCATTATATTTTTATTGGATGTTTCTGCAATTCAAGGATATCCTTATTTGTATTTCTAAAGACTGAGTTTTAATTAAAGGCAGTATAAAATAGTGAAGTCGAAAGAATGGTGGGATGAAGTACTGGTTGGTAAGCGTCTGTGGACCACTGGGTGTGGGGTGCTAAAGTAGAACTAATGACTCTTTCGAAGAAGTTTATTGGCTAAATGAAGGAGAAATCAGATAACTTTAAGAAAAGCAGAGTAACAAAGAGGCTTCTCTTCACCTTTTTCTTTTCTTTATTTGGTTAATTGAGACAAACATTTTTTGCAGGCCCAAGGAACTGAAGATGCACAAAGGAGGGTTGATGCAGAAATGTATCAGAGTGGGAAGGTTGGAAGAGAGCTCTACTGGCTTTGGGTAAGGAAAGACTAGTTTTTGCTTGATGAATAACCCATCCCCACTTAGACCCCCCTGCTGGGAGGTAAGAACAAAGAAAGTAAAATGAACAAACGGCCTTCGGCCTTCGTAGAGAGGTGTCAGGTACTACTCTAGGCAGGTTACAAGTCACTTCATCCAATATTTGCACACCCCCTATGATGGAGAGATTTACTTTTCAATAGATGAAAAAACTGAGACCCAAACAAGTTAAGCAACTTGCCTAAGGTCACACAACCAGTCAGAGAAAAGTCTCACCATTGGAGGCAGAAATGCCATCGTCGGAATTCATGTGGAACAAAAGGTTCCAGAAAAGAGAAATGAATGGTTCTTATTAGGCTATGTTTATCTGAGGAACGGTCCTCAGATAAAACCTAAAATGCAACATTATAGTTACAGAATCTAGTTGTAAAGTGGAAATAGGCCTAGTGTACAACCATGGGAGGTACAATGGACGTATTACGTTAGAGAGGGGAACAGATGTGTGGGTTAAGCCCATCAGAAGGTGTGCCTCAAAGGGAGAGGCCTGCTGCGGGGAGAGACGACAGCAAGCACAAACTGAGAATTCTAGTTTCCAAATGATTCATGCCGAAGACAGAACTAAAACATAGGGAACATATGGAATACACAGAAAATGCTTTCTGACAATCAAGGATAAACAACTCAGGTGGCAAGAAGGTGAACTGCTGCTGCAGCCCAAAGTGATACAACAGATGGCGATAAATTATCATGTCTTTTTTCTGCAATTTGTTTTACAATTTGAGATCAGATCTTTTTTAATCCTCAAAACTATATTGGAGGAGGTGAGCTATCAATAAGCAATTCAAGCCACCTTAACAGAAATACTTAAGGGAAGATGAAAATCTCTTCAAATTAGTTTCATTTTCTTTTTCATGTGTAGAACAGTTCTTGCCAAATAACCAGCTACTACTTACTAGAGACTAAAAAAAAAAACCCAAAAAGACAAAAACAAACAAAAAAAACCCACAAAAAAACCTCAATAAGGAAGAAAAACATGAGTTATTGATCTTCTTTAAACCAAGACTTTTTGATAGTCTCTCTTCCAGTTACCAAAAGTGCACGCATATACAGAGATGTTTTCAATTATAATTGATGGCCACAGGTAACAGTTCTTATGTCTACTTTGATTTTGAAGGCATGTTAGTATTACAACAACCATTTTTGCTCTCATGAGATTTTTTTCTTTTTCTTTTTTACTGTAGAGAAAGCAGTAGTCATTATTTTGCATTAGGCACTGCAGTCAAATGTACTCTGTATTTTATGAGGCAATAACCAGACTTCAAATATTCATTTTCTCCATTAGATGATAATGGATATTAGGAGAAGAGGCACTAATGCTAAGTCACTGATATTTATACCTAAGGACTTGGAGTAGGGGAGGAAAAAAAGAATTACTACCAAAATGTGGATTGGTTGTCTTTTTTTGTTTTTGTTTTTTGTTTGTTTGTTTGTTTGTTTTTACATATATTTTGGGAGTGATCTAATTAGTGGCTTATTATTTGTACTCCATCTCAGAGATACCAGGAGGACAATGTTGAAAATTTTCTTTCATGGAAATTGGAAGCCCTCCATGAATTATTGAAGTCAACTGGTAGATATTAACATTCCTCAACAAATTATCAAATCCCAGTATTCTCTGTTATGGGTAATAGGAAAGCTAATATATATTGTTTGTCATGAGGCAAAATTTGTTACTTTATAAACAGCTTCACAGAGAATCTATCTCCCTGTCAGAAATCATAATTTTATGTGTTTAATTATTCTGACTTGTTAACATATTTCTCTTTCAACATTTATATTATAAGAAAAATGGCACTAAGGACTTCTTTCCTTCCCAACATTGCTCTCAAGTCTTGTTTATATTTAGGTAGGCTCTTTATTTCCAACTACTTAATGAAAGCTGTTTAGTCCAATGAATAAAATGAGTACAGTGAATGCCTCTGGACCTAAATTTTACTTTTAGCATTACCTCTGACTCATTGCAGGTGAATCTTCCCAGCCATAGGAGATAGTTTTTTCTTTTTTTTTTTTTTTCAAGAAACAGTGACCAGTGACAATGTGCATCTCCTCCAAAGATATCTAAGGCATGGTTTTCCCAATCTAACTTAGGGATCTACCCTAAGTGATCTGGAGCCAATTATATTCATTGTGTATGTGTGCGGGGACAGTGAGAGAGAGACAGACAGACAGACAGACAGACAGACATTGATCGACTGAGATTACAGGGCTACTTAGGAGTAGGACCAAAGTTTGACATTTTCACATTACCATCCCAAATACTAGGTCAAGCAGCCTAATAGATTTTACATTAAAGCTCTGGCCTAAAACTTAGTTGTTGAAAAAAATGAGATATTCAGAAACGATCACATTGAAAGGATGAATAACTGCTAAATTTTAAAGAATGTTTTAATCTTTCCAAAGTGTGCCATTTATTCTTTGCCTATGAGCCTCCGTTAAAAAGCATTAAAATTAATAGGGCCCTTTTGCTTGTCTTTGAGGACTGTGAGAATGGGGATAGAGGAGGGAATGACTCCCTATCCCTGGGCAGTTTGGGCTGGTAGCAGTACTGAAGAGAAAAGGAAAGCTAACAGTCTCCAGCATCAGGAGCAGAGAAGGAAAAGAGCTTGGAGTGGTGAAAAGAGATACACAGGGCTTAGCAGATAGCTCAAGTAGCAACAGCTGACTGTGATACAATGGAAGGGTATGAAGGCTGGAGTGATGCAGAGCATTTCCCAGAGAGCACATGTATCAAATAGCTTTGTCATCAGTCCTATCACTGATGAGAATGTGATTTAGTTATAGCGTGTGTCCTCCAACCCTCTTACCAACTGATGTGGGGGCTTAAATAATTGTGCCTAAGTACAGTGCTGTTAACCCATCAATCCAACTGAATAGTCATATATATAGAAGTGACAAACTAAGCTTAAAAATGTAATAAACTACAATAACTATAAATGAGCTTAAAATAGCTAAAGAGCAGAGAAATTTAGAGAGAGAAAAATTGATTTTTAACTTTATCTTAAATAAAAAGTTGACCTCTTTTGAATAAACTCAGCTGGATACCAAGCCATGAAATGGCATTTATTTATCCTCCATATCACATTTTAGAAAGCTATGATTATATAATCAATTAGAGAATTGGTGTGGGATATAGCAAATATGTAAGATTTTATATGCTGATGATTAGCTAGTAAAGCTCAGAAAGTGACTGCCAACATAGGGAGTGATATGGTGAGCATTTGAACATTTACTGAGCACTTACCATATGCCAAGCTTTATATATAATGTTGTTTTACATAAATAATGTTTATTACACAACAAATAGATAGCTACTATTATTATCCCCAGTTTACAGAAAAGGTAACTAAGACACAGAGGTCAAGTAACTTGCCCCAAATCACATAGGTAGTAAACATAAAAGCTGGGACTGATATCCGCACCATCTGCACCAGAGTCCCTCTTTTATGACGTCTAATATATAGTGTCATTGAAAGCAATGGTGGTTAGCACACATTCGAATTAGAAGGGATTTCTACTGAAAAATTATATGCTTCTACAAACACCTTAATATACTTTGTATATACTCTGACATGCCTTAGAGTGAATTCTAGAGACAGATTATGTGCTAAAATAAAACTGTGTGATAAATTTTCATCTGAGTGGTTGGAAAATCATGCATGTCTATTATTGGGCTGAACTATTGAATACCAGTATCGCTAAGATAATTCAACCTTTATTTTGTTCTTATGCTAGCCAATGTTAAAAAGCTACATTCAAAGAAAGATTAAAAAAAAAAAAAACTCTTATGTGTTAGCCATTAAGCTAAGCACTTTTATGTTATTTCATATTAATTTAAGTTGGTCAACCATTCAAGCTCAAAATCCTAGTTAGAAAGTAGCATTATAAAGGAGAACACACACGTGCACATGTGTGCAGGCAACGTTTTAGCACTGCCCGCCAGGTACAAGATAGTTGTTCTGAGGCTGTGCTTATATGCGTCATCTCTAGTATCATTTTTATTGCTTTTTAACAAGGAACGTGATTATACATGGTTACATGATTATGATATACATGGTACTCAAATTATAAAACTTTCCAAATGTGAATTCTATTACCACTTTTCCCCCCTCAGTGACGTGTACCTTACAAGTATATGTGATGTGGGTAGTAAAAGGAGATTATCTGCCCTCATGTCTTACTTACTACTCCTCAATGTCCTTGACACTGTCTTGTACAGAGAGACCATGAATAACTTAGTTTTAATTTATCTGTTTGTCTCACTTATGCCTGATTGGAGCAATTGAGAAAAATTACATTCATAAATCTTCTTGCCAAGATAATTAATTATGCACAAAATACTTCAAGCTGCTTCTGATTTTCATTAATGAAGTGGCAGATTATCTGCAAAATGAGATGCTGCTGTTGTAGTTGGAAAAAAAATGGTCAGCTGCTCATTTTTAAATGTAAAACAAGTAACATTTTTACATCTAAAAAGCAAGGATATGTTTTTTATTATGTTTATCAGACTATCACATCTCCATTAAGATAGAAAAGCATGAGGTTTTCTTATTTTTTTTCTTACGTTTGATGTAAATCTTAAATTGCCATTATTCTGGTAACTCAATTTTTTTTCCAAAGTAGAACTAGCTGAACTATTATAATTCAAAAGCATTAGGCCATAAGAACTTAGAAATAGAGAAGCACTAAATGCATTGTTTAAATGGCCCTTTATGAGAGATGAAGCATCAGATACTCAATCACATTATTATTCATCGGTAATTTTTGTTCTAATTCTCCACTCAGTTTTCTTTTCTCTTAAGTGGTTAAAATGGTTGAAAAAACTGGTATTCTATTAATGTAGGGTTTGACAGCTTCTATGTTCCTTTAAAATAAGTGCGGAACCGATAAAAAATATTAGCCCTTCAATGAAGTATGCGCCTTTGTATCAACTCATGGTTCAACGTTCTAGGATTAGCAGATAGATCATCCAGGAACATGATAATCACAGAACCCAAATTTCTAAGAGCCACACCTAATTTTGTGTCCCTGCTGCTATTCTTCATCATTGCATTATCAATAAAACTTTAAAATAAATCATTTGAAAAAAATTTAAAAACCTAGGTGAGATAATTATGCTTGTACCTACCTGAATTTTTAAATATCTCTTTGCTCACATAATTATCAACATGGTAAGCATTAATAATTGTTTATAAGATTGAGAAACTGAAGAGACTTTACTTTCTTATCAATAAGATATTGTTTAAATTGTGCTACATTCAAATGGTGAAATATCATATACCCATTAAAATAATCTACTGAACTTTTGGGAGAAAAATATGTGTATGATTTGTTCAATATAATAAAAATCAGGTAATATAATAATATGCATAGATTAATTCCATTAGTTTTTGGTTGCTTGTTTGGTTGCTTAATAAATGCGTGAGCCTGTGACTGTGCTTATGCTTGGATAGAGGTCTAAAAGGTGACAGTATGCCAAATGCTAATAACAATTATCTGTATGGGTAGTGATCTCACCTACATTTTAAACGAATGAGCATTATTAAGTCATAAGCAAAAAAACAAAAGCAAAAACAAAACTATCTTTGTGTTTTGAACTATTAATTGAGTGCTCATTGAAGAAGTATGGCTAAGATTACAAAAGTGACTTTTATTTGACCACACCTTGTGAACTCAAAATAAATAAATAATAAATTAGTCTTGACTCGAGCAGGATAGTGAAAGGAGGTACAAATGAGGGAGTATGCAATGTGTGGGCCTTCACTGTCCTTTTCAGACATGATGACAAAAATTGCTAATAATAATATAGTAGTTACTATGTGCCAGGTAACATTCTAAGCACTTCACACAGAATAACTCACTTGATAATCTTAACACTTTGAGGTAAGTACATCAAGTAAATATCTACATTTTACAGAAAACTAAGCCTCAGGGAGGTTAAATAATTGCTCTGATACTCAGCTGGTAAGTGGTGGAGCAGGATTTGAACCCAGCCAAGAGTGTCTCTCTCCAGGATCTGTGGTCTTACAAGCACACGGAGACAATAGGTACTTTATTAATGACTCCAGCCGTTGTCACTGGTTTTAGTAAGGTAAAATGTAACATGGGGTGCTTTAAGATTAAGAACTTAAATATTAAATTTAAATAAATGATTAACTTATTGACCAATTTTATTAAAAATTAATACTTATCATTATTATTATTATTAAATTGATTTTGGTTCAAAACTGTTAGGAATGAAGTCTAAATGAAAGCCTAGTTCTTTTAACCACAGGTGTACCTTTGTAAAGCTTTACTATACCAACAGCAGCCTCTGACAAGTAAACGGTATGAAGAGACCATGACATATATCACAACAGCAGTAATGCTAAATCCAGAGGAAAGGATATGAGCTGGATAAGAAAGAATTTCTAATTTGTAAGGCTTAACCAAGGAGAAAGAGAACAAGAAAACTAATATTTATTAAGCACCTCTTAAAATGATAAGCATTGTGCTACATGCTTTACACATGTTATTACATTAAATCCTTCCAACAACCCTGTGAGTTAAGTGATATTATTTCCAACTTAAAAATGAGACTTATTAACACAACAATGAGATACCACTACGCACCTATCAGAATAGCCAAAGTCCAAGACACCAACAACATCAAATGCTGGTGAGGATGAGGAGCAACAAGAACTCTCATTCATTGCTGGTGGGAATGCAAAATGGTACAGCCACTTTGGAAGACAGTTTGTCAATTTCTTATAAACATATTCGTACCACATATAATACAGCAATTGTGTTCCTTGGTATTTACTCAAATGAATTAAAAACTTGTATCTACACAAAAACCTGCATATGGATGCTTACAGCATTTCTATCCATAACTGCCAAAACTCAGAAGCAACCAAGATGTCCTTCAGTAGGTGAATGAATAAACTGTGGTATATCTAGAAAAATGGAATACTATTCAGTGCTCCAAAGTAATGAGCAATCAAGCCATAAAAAAAGCATAAAGTAATCTTAAATGCATATTACTAAGCAAAATAAGCCAATCTGAAAATGCTGCATATTATATTATTTCAATTATATGACATTCTGGAAAACTCAAAACTATGGAGATGGTGAAAGATAAGTGGTTGCCAAGGATTAGGGAGAGAAAGGGATGACTAGGCAGAGCACAGAGGATTCTTAAAGCAGTGAAATTATTCTTTATACTACAGTGGTGGATACATGTTATTACACATTTTTCAAACACATAAAATGTACAACACCAAATGTGAAGCCTAATGTAAACTATAAACTTTAGGTGATAATGATGTGCCAATGTAGGTTCATCAATTATAATAAATGTACCACTCTAGTACAGAATGTTGGTAGTGCAGGAGGGTATGCATGTTTGGTACAGAGGGTACTCTGCACTTTGTATTCAGTTTGCTGTGAATCTAAAACTATTCTAAAAAGGAAAGTCTATGTTAAAAAAAATCACCTCTCCCAAAAAGGCATACATACCTCCCCAGAAAGATGATGTCCTAAAAGTCACAGAACTCACCATGTCAGAAACCTTCAGTGATAATTTAAGTTATTATCAAGACATCTGTCTCCAGGGTTGGCAGATATCTAGTTTTTCTTTAAGTATGTGACTGTGTTACAATGTGCATTTTGAATCTTCGTGATCGATCTATCTTCTCTCCTTCCTTCCTCCTCCTTTTTCTTCCTCCTTCCCTTCCTTTCTTTCCTCCTTCCTCCTTTTCCTACAGAGCATTCAAGTGGATGATTTTTGCCATAGTTAAGAAACAAGAAAGCAACATTGCTATCTTAAAAATTAATAAATGAAAGTTAACTGTAGCTGCTTTTTCATTCTTGGGGAAATTGTTCTGTGTTTGGAAAGCCTCTTTGATGAGCCTTTTCTCTGCAGAGAGAAGGTCTCTGTATTAATCTGGATAAGAGAGGCCATGGTTTAAAAGGGATACAGTAGCCTCCCTTTATCTGCTAGTGGATATGTTCCAACGCCCTAGCGAATGCCTGAAACCACAGATAGTACTGAACCCTATATGCACTGTTTTTTTTCTATACATACATACCTATGATAAAGTTTAATTTACACATTAGGCACATTAGGAAATTAACAACAACTAATACTAAAATAGAACAATTATAACACTATCTTATAATAAAAGTTATGTGAATGTGGTCTCTCTCAAAATGTCTCATTGTACTATATTCACCCTTCTCATATGTGAAGACATAAGAGATGATAAAATGCGTTAAGTCAAAATCTTTCACCTTTTCACTTAAAGGAAGCATTTTATGATATATTCAAGTTAACAGCATCACTACTCTTGAGCTTTGGGGCCATTATTAAGTAAAATAAGGGATACCTGAACACAAGCACTTTGATATTGTGACAGTTGATCTGATAACTGAGATAGTCACTAACAGGTGCATAGTGCATAAAGTGTGGATATGCTAGACAAAGGGATGATTCATGTCCAGGGTTGAATGGTGTGAGATTTCATCATGCTATTCAGAATAGCACACAATTTAATACTTGTGAATTATTAATTTTGGAATTTTCAATTTAACATTTTTGGACTGCAGTTGACCACAGGTAACTGAAACTGCAGAAAGTGAAACTGCAGATAA